CAGGCTCTACTTTGCAGTTATAGAGCAGCTCCAAACTTTGTCCAGGTATCACCCCTTAGCTAAGAATATAGCTAGGGTTCAAATCGTCCTTTGGAAAACCTAGGAAATTTACAGCTGTAACACAATGCCAGTAGTCTGGAAGAGAAGTTTCAAAAAGCTCGAGGACAACGGCTGAAATCACGTAGTCTGAGCTGCAAATGTAGTATATCCCCTATGGTTGCAAGCAGGACTACCATGTCCAATGAAAGCGCCTGAACATCCACTGAACTCCAGGTGTGCCTTGAGGTTCTGCTGGTAATTTGTCTTGAAAACAGGTTCGTAGACATTTTTATGCGAGATCTTCCCTCACATCCTGCTAAAGATACCCATACATACAAAAACAATAGAGTACGAAAAATCCTTAGTTTCTAGGAAATTCTAATTTCTTCAAGTAATAGGAATGGAGTAATGAAACAAGGGCGTCCATGTACCAAAGTCAAGGCCAGTTATCCTTCACACCAAGCATTCTCCCTGCGGATTTCCTCCTCTTCTTCTGGGGAAAAGTCGTTCGTAATGTTGAACATAGTGCGAATTTCTTCAGGGAGTCTTTCCCTAGAATAGCAGAAACGAGTTGTAAAATTGTAAAACGACCGTCTTCTACAATCTACACCAAATATTTCAATAGACTCGATCACTTCGCTCGGGTTCACACGAATGCTTAGTAAACAGAGTTGATCGCTGCGGATGTTGGGGCACTTTCATGGATAGTAGCCGCTGACTGGCGCTACGCCAAAACCCAGCCCCACTGACATGCACCACCTTCAACAGCGTACAAGTCCGTGTTACTAGTTTAGAGTAAGTGCATGAACGGAGAGTGTACAAAAGACAGCTATGGCAAAGGTGAAACAACTCACTTTCATCATGTGGGCGATCTTCTTGCATCCATCATCGAGTAGTTTGGGAATGTCCAGATAATTGGCAGCCTGAAAATGATTGATAAGTTATTGCAAAATCGGGCTTTATAGGCATATATAAGCTACCATTATGATCTCGAAAAGCATGGGATAATCGACATTGAAAAAGTCCTCGGACCACTCTTCAAGCTTTTTGATGTCTTTCCCTTCCGTTTTATGCTTTTCACACCACGCTACCACCTGAAACCATTCTAATCGAGGAATTCAACTTGCAAACGAAATGAACCATGAATCTTTTGAGGATTTCCACCGAATCAGGCCAATACAAACAGTTACTAATACAGGCGTAAGGCCACGTTCATACATGATGCAGAAATGCGGAATATGCAGAACTGTGGAATCTGCAGAAAGGAAATATATACGTATCGATCTGAAAACTGCATTTCTTCAAATTCCGCGGAATTTGCCGACATGCAGAAATTACGGACAAAGAAGCGATAGGGATCGATCGGTCCATCGGCATTTCTGCAAATTCCGCACTTCTGCATATTCCACGGTTTTTGAAATCGATAGACATATTTTCTTTTTCTGCAAGTTCCGCGGTTCTGCAGATTCCACACGTCTGCAAATTCCGCAGTTCTGCACATTCCGTGGTTCGGCATTTCTGCATCATGTATGAACGCGGCCTTAATGAAAGGGGCCACGCAGCAGCGCCTATGTCCCTTCCGGTCGCATCTATTCCTACAGCGTCCGCGCAACGCGTATCGACTGCGGCGCTCCTGGCATTTTGCCATTCTTTGGTGATTCACGCTTCCAATAGCGATTAGAGCGCGAACCTCGTTAAGCGGGACTTGAGTTTAAGATCAGTTAGTCTGTTTCGAAGTTGCATACCTTTCGCAATGGCGTTTTGATGAGAAGAACATGAGTTGATGAGCAGTTAGCCAGTTTCAGAGTTCCATACACATCGCAAGCGCAATTCAAATGAAAATGTTGTGGACTGAAAGCAGTTATTCTAACTGAATTCATGATATTTCAGGCGTGGGCACTAGTCAAATTACAACCTTAATCTTCAGGCACCTAGCCAGTTTTTTATCGATTTTCCCCTGAGAGGGCAGAGTCGGCTAAAAATTTGTTTCCATGGGTACTTCGACCTCCCTAACTCAAGTGTCGAATCCGTACACTAGCACTGGCTAGCGCTGCTCCACGGGCGCCAGCGCCGAAATGCGCTAATCACCAAATTCGCCGATAACATGGCCAGGAGGGTGTCCTGACCCCTGAACATATCCACACCCGCTTGTTCATTCCTGAACATATACTAAAATTGTGGGATAACGGGCGAAACGGACCATCTGTGTTTTGGAGTGTATAGTCCTTTCCAATATTTGTTTCTCTTTGTTTTCTAATTGGCCCGAAAAACTGGTGCCCGCACCACAGGCGCCGGCGCAAAAACGCTCTCGATCACAAAAATCGATTAAAACTTGCAGGCTATTTGAGATCTTGATCATGAACATGACATTCATTCCTGGTGCAGGCACTAATACAACATTCTACGGTCGTCTACGCTCCGCTGAGGCTGGGCCTGGCCCAAAGGTAATCCTTCTCCCAGGCTCAGCCTTAGCAGAGCGCTGAATCGGAAAGTGAATGCCATTTTCGTGACAATGGAAACCCCATTACGCGCATTTTAATCAATTTTAGTGAAAAGCAGCGGGTTTACAGGCAAATAGCTGTCAGAGCGCTAAAAGTGAAGGCCAGATTTGTTGATCAGGGCACGATCGACCCCGGTTAAGCAAGTTCTACATCGCTATGGTAGAGGAAAGTGTTGGTGTTAAGTCGGCGCCTACTGGCGCTTGAATGCGCGCATCGAAAGCGAACGTCATACTTCTGATCAGGGATCGAGTTCCGTACAGGCAAAGTTTCAGCAGTCCTTTTTTCGAGTTCTCAGGTAATAATAGTTGAATAGTACCCATATATATGCAGATACGTCCTCGTGTCACTGCCATGACGCCTTTGGGCTATGCAGGAAGAGCGTCATTGCAGTCAATGTGCAATTGGTTCATTTGTTACCTATTACCAGTTACTACCTGCAAATGCTTTCTGTCCTTCTCGTTCAAATGCGCTTGGGTTGTGTATGGGTCTCTGAAACTGGCTTACTGCTCTTCAATTCACGTTCTTCTCATTGAAGCGCAATTGCGAAAGCCATGCAACTTTGAAACAACTAACTGATCTTCAATTGAAGTCCCACTCAGCGAGGTTCGCGTTCTAATCGCTATCGGAAGCGTGAATCACCAAAGAATGGCAAAATGCCAGGAGCGCCGCGGTCGACACGCGTTGCGCGGACGCTGTAGGAATAGATGCGACCTCCGACCGCCTCCCCCCCCCCCTCCACAGCTTAAAGACAGCGAACGCGATCGACTACGGCTGTAGGGCTCAGAGTTGTTGGATCACGTGGCCAACTAAAGCATTAATCAGAAAAAAGTAACAAAAAGCCCGCAAGAACATAGAATAAGACCCTGCTCGAGCGGACGCTCTGGACGAGTTTCGCAGATTTTGGGTGAGTTCTCCAAACCCGACGGCGCCGCGTAGGCGACTAATTCATAAGCAATAACCTCCTAGGGTATTACTTCTCTAATCTAGCGTCTAACTATGAGTACTTCTATCAGATGTAACTAAGCAGAAATTTAGCCGATTATCACGACCAGCGAGGGGATCGACAATGCCGAAAACCAAACGAGGCGGGGATTGAAACGACAGCGGAATGGGTGTTAACCCATTGTTGACCCGCCATAGTCTATCAATCGATTTCGAGGCCATGAGCGGGCCTTATCGGCTCTAGTGGTGTGGATTCGCCGATCTTGTACTGTACAATGTTGATTCACCTCAGTTGCAATCGTTAATCCTTTAAGCAGGATTTCAGACGTGGCGGAGCACTGTGAACGTCAGAATTCTGAGCTCTTAGAATGAGGTGTTCAATGTAGCGTTTCCAGTGTCAGCGTTTTAAGCACGCAGCAGCGTTTTCAGCGTGACACCTATACTTTCTTGGGCGCTAGAAACACTCACAGATCCTCAAAAGGGCATGGAACGCTGGCATACGCTCAAAACGCTGCCGTAAAGTATGAATATCGAACTCTAACAGAGCACAGGTAATCAGAGTCAGTCGCATCGTAGTCTCGCGTAGTAGAGACAGGGTTGCGCAGCGTTAACTGCCAGTCGCAATCACCATGCCCAGTCGGACTGTGGAGATGAAGGTCGAACTCAAAGCGCAGCGGCCTGTTGAGTGAGTGGGGTCCTCGGTGCCTTGGTACGTGCACTTAATTCGCCTTGGAAGCCCTATTCAGCCACTACAAATTGTAGCTCGTTACCCCGCATATACAGTTCTGTTCGCTGCGGATGATGGGCCTGTAAGGGAGAGGGTCCGCAGTGGCGCAAGCCCCTTTTTCCCCTCGAGTTTTCGGAGAGGGCAAGAGACGACAACTAGCGCAAAACGGACCTGCGCCGCGCTAAACCCATCCCCCCACACGTCCCAGCTTCCGCAGCGATCCAGACTATGGCCGCAAGGCCTAGTGACTGCTGCAACTACATCTGCATTTGCTCTCTAACCACTTACGAAGGAAACTCCTTTTGCGGAAACTCCTACAAGCGGGAAGGAAACCAAAAAATATCGGGAATAGCAAACGCCCAATACGATTTCACAGAACCTTTTTGAAAACTGGAGCTGTGACGTTTGGAATCGGAATGGGAGCGTCGTCATCTTGGAGATTCAAGTCCTAAAAAGTAAAGATTGAATAAGAAGAGGTAAATCGATGAAAAATATGACAGACCTCAAGCATGGTAGTGACCAATTTCGACATGCTGATAATTGAAGCGGGCACTTCACAAATGTCCTGCTCCTTTGTTTGAACTCTGTAAATCTTCTCGGGAGTGGCCACCTTTTCGAGCGCAGCATTCTCTGAAGTCTTTTTCGAGCCCATCTATAAACAATTAGATACATTTACACGCTGGAAACTGATTGGACGGACGATGCTCAAAACAGTGCAAAGAGATGTCCGGTCCTGCTCGCTGCAGATGCTGGGGCGTTTCAAGGGACTGGGTTTGGCGCGACGCCAGCTCGTTACCAAATATAGAAGCTGGCTAGAGGACTCTGAAAATAATGGCTAGGCCAAGGCTACAATTAAATAAGCAAAGTCTGCGACAGTGAGTCGAATGAAGTATTGTGCAATCCATAAAAGGATTAATCCCCGTATCGACTGATTTAACCCAGCCCAGATGGAACCAGACCACATAACAATTAGGAAAGCTGACAGCTAGTGTGCACGTAGCGCTAGTCTTGCACGGACGCTGGTTGTGATCAATACCCATGTTTTACACAGAGCTCAACCCCAGAGGTATGTGCGGTCTCTTCTGTGTCGAATTTGTTACCTACAAATCCCAGCAAAACACATATTCACTTTGATCATTGTGAAAGGTTGTAAGTGAAAGAAAAGTCCAAATCAGGTACTTCAAGCGAAACCGAACACAAAGCGTTAAAAATGGCACGCCTGCAGCTATTTCGCAAGCACGCAATGTGACTGCGGAGGAGTCACGCGGCGGTAGCGCACCACTTTCGTGCCGGGACCCCATAGCCTGGGATACAGTCACAGTTGACTTCGTCAGGACACGTTCCTTTTGCCTGTCGCTGCGCGTACTTGACTACGTAACGTCCTAAGACTTCTTGGTTTAGAGCTTTTCCATTGAAGTGGCGGATCCCAATGCTGTTTGCTGTATGCGTTTGCGCTTTTGCCTTTCGCTATAGGACCACGGGGCGGTCCGAATCATCTAGAACCAAGACAATGCATAAATAACACCGAAATTACTGTCGCGACCCCCTAATCTGTGTGAAATCGAATTGGGTCTATAGCGTTGTTCCACCGTTATTTTAGGACGAGGGCCAGAAGCTAGTTTTGCTAGATTTCCGCGCGTCATGACATCCTCTGTGCCAGGAAGCCAACTCGACGGGTATTCCTTTGAAGAAATTGCCGGGCTGCGCGGCTTGGGAAAGGAGCGGTCGAAGGACCGCTAGGTGCTCTCCCTCCCCCCCCCACAAAGGTAGGTTAGCGTCGAAAGTATCTAGGTTTACTCCTCACGCCGAAGTGCGTAGTGATAATGTCTTCAGTCTGTCTCTCAACGAGCATCAGCAAACGCTTCCAAACCAAGCGAATATATTGGCAGGGGGAGGAGCTCTAGCACACGAGCGGTGGATGCCCCTCAAAATCGGAAAATTACAAGTGTTAAGCTAACATACGCCTGCAGATTATAGTCGTATGGGTGATCGTATCCACGTTACAATGCCGTCTAGTAGCTGTTGACGAAGGGGCCTGTCAGGCGGGATGTGTTTGGCGCGGTGCCAAACCCGTTCTCCACCAGTTGTTGAAGCGAGCAAGGTGACAAAACTGCACCATACGTTCGTGCCACTCTTTCTACCAATTTTTGTCTCATACCTGCTTCAAGAAATGGCTGAGAACGGGCTTAGTGCCGTAGCGCACTCACAGTGCCTGACACGCCCCTTTATCCGCAGCGAACTGCAGTATGAATGGTATATGGTCGGAGTTGCCTAGTTGGTTGAGTTGAGGTATTATAGCAAATCTACCTTAAAGGCAGTTGGCACGATAAATCCCCCAAGGCGACTAGGATCAATACTCCTGGCAGGATAGAATTCCGCGACCCTGGGCAGGCGCTGCATAGCGGTTTCCCCGAGGAAGGTGCCCTTATAAGGGCCCTATCAAGCCACAACTTTACGTCCCAAACGCCCACTAGCCACGGCCGGCCGGCCCCACAATGCGCGACCGTTCTCTGACTAAGTATATTATTCAATTTGCTAAGCAATTATGGAGCGAAGCGGATTTGTAAGAAGCGGCTGCGCATGCCTGCATATATGCAACCAAGTCGGATCGCCCGGCTGTCGCCGGGCGCTCCTCCTTCTGTGACATGGCCCGGCTTCGCCGGACCATGCGGATTTGCCGCGTGCTAAGTTAAGGATCGTTGACCAACCACACTGTTCAAAGGAATCTTCTGCATCAGCCAAGAACTGAAAAGCAGCGCTTGTTCCGTCAAGGCGCAGAAGCAGCAGCAGCGCCCCCCCCCCGCATCACAGAAGGAGGAAAGCGGCTTAGCCAGCGATCCGACTGGTACGTTCATAACCTACACGGAAATAGTGCAGCCTGTTTGGACAGCCACTGAAGCAGCCTATAATTTATGCAATCTGTCTTCCTAAAGCGTCTTGCTTTGGAATGCACTACCGCATTCAGCAGTGGAACCCTTTAAATGGCCCTCACTGAAGTTGCTGATGGAAGATAATTGTGGTAAGAGTGATAAAGTCAGTTGCTGCTGTTCATAACATCTCTGTAAACAAACCACATGCATTTGGAATAGAGCTGGCTTAGCGGTCGTACACGACGTCGTTACTAATAAGCAGTGAGGAATGAGTTCTGTTGGAATCACTGAGATCGTTATACTTGAGTCATATCGATCGCATTGTTGTTGTGAGCGGTGAAGCGGATTTTCCCATGCTACCTTGTCAATTTTAGCTCCTATCACTTCCGTACCCGCTAATAACACTCCCGTCCCGTATCACTATCATATCACCCTGTATCGCCTCTCGGATCAGAGGTCCCAGTGTTGCTGTAACCTGCGTTACGAATCTGATGACCCTCCCCTTCCGAGGCCGCTTACCGTATCTTATCAACTGTTATCACTTTCTGTCGCCCGCCAATAATGTTCCCGTCCCACACCCTATATCACCTCACGGATCTGAGTTCCCACTGTTGCTGTTAACCTGCGCCACGAATTTGATGACCCTCCTCTTCCGAGGCCCCTTATCGGATCTTATCAACTGTTATCAGCTTCTGCCAGCCCCACCCTACGGCATATCAGTACTTGAAATCACGGTCCCGCAGCTGCTGCAACTTGCGCTACGAATTCGGTCACCCTCCCTTCTAAGGCCCCTTATCGAATCTTATCAAGTGTTATCACCTCCTGTCACCCATCAAAAGTGTTCCCGTCCTGCCATGTATATCACTCCTTGAAATCACGGTCCCACACCTGCTGCAACTTGCGCTACGAATTTCGGTCACCCTCCCCTTCTACGGCCCCTTATCGTATCTTATCAAGTGTTATCACCTCCTGTCACCCACAAAAGTGTTCCCGTCCTGCCATGTATATCACTCCTTGAAATCACGGTCCCGCAGCTGCTGCAACTTGCGCTACGAATTCAGTCACCCTCCCTTTCTAAGGCTCCTTATCGAATCTTATCAAGTGTTATCACCTCCTGTCACCCATCAAAAGTGTTCCCGTCCTGCCATGTATATCACTCCTTGAAATCACGGTCCCGCAGCTGCTGCAACTTGCGCTACGAATTCAGTCACCCTCCCTTTCTAAGGCTCCTTATCGAATCTTATCAAGTGTTATCACCTCCTGTCACCCATCAAAAGTGTTCCCGTCCTGCCATGTATATCACTCCTTGAAATCACGGTCCCGCAGCTGCTGCAACTTGCGCTACGAATTCAGTCACCCTCCTTTCTAAGGCCCCTTATCGAATCTTATCAAGTGTTATCACCTCCTGTCACCCATCAAAAGTGTTCCCGTCCTGCCATGTATATCACTCCTTGAAATCACGGTCCCGCAGCTGCTGCAACTTGCCACGAATTCGGTCACCCTCCCTTTTAAGGCCCCTTATCGAATCTTATCAAGTGTTATCACCTCCTGTCACCCACCAAAAGTGTTCCCGTCCTGCCATGTATATCACTTCTTGGAACTGTCATCCTATCTCTTTCTGCGACGCTCGCTATGAATTTCGTGACACACACACACACACACACACACACACACACACACACACACACACATAAGCGGATTATATATAGTAGGAATAGCCAAGCCGTATCTTCGGTAGCGGTGATTGGTAAGATGCCTACAGGAAACTCGTCCGAATCGATTTACAAATCACTGAGAACGGAGGCTTTTTCTTCGCAGGATTGTGTGACCGTTTGCACTCCGTCTTCCACCATTTTCCGTCACTAACAGCGCCCTAACTAGTATTTTAGGCTAATGGTAATAAGGAAACAACGTGGCAACTGCCTTAAACCAATTCAGTTGAGCAATGGGACCTCGGAGTTTTTCTGAAAGTATTTCCGATCGTAATGGCCTGAACTCGGGTATGGCATATATGGCCGGAATCCGAAAACCTTGGCCATTGTGGAACACCACTAAAATCTGGAATTCGTTAACGCGGCGTGGCACAGGAAATTCGGCTGCATGTCGTTCAGGAGCAGGTGCAGCATCATGATGCGTGCAAGTGGGGTCAGTACGACCCCCCCCCCTCGATGGAGGGTCTCGGTACTATCCCCTTCCTTCTCCAGCACCTCTTTAATACAAGTTCCCAAATTCCTACCAGTATTTCACCCAAAAATTTTCCGTCGTTTCCGTCGGACGGTGGGGGGGGGGCGGAGGTATAGCCAATGTGAAACCGCGAAAACCAGGAACAATTTTCCCAACGCGGCAAATTTCTCTCAAAGCCGCATACGGCCTCCCTCTCTCAAAGCAACGGCCAAATACGACCCCCCCCCTCCTCCCCAGCCCCCACTCCTGTGTTTCACGCAACGGTGCTGTACCCTGTTTGGTTGGGAGATTTTGCTTACGGGGACGCGCGTGAACTAACAGAATTTGTACTACCTAGTTGACCCGGTATACTGCAGCACGCTCGATTCAACTAACCAAAAGTTGGGTTCTGATGGGAATGACGTGTGAGATGCCTGCTACGCCGCATTACGGTAGCCTGACTCTTCTGAGAAACCACTTGTTTCACCCATTTTCTAGTTCCACGCGCGGTCCCATGACTGCGACGAGGGGTTGTTTGGCAGTACGCACTTCTGCGAGTCTGTCTCTCTGCAACTCTGGTTGACTGCACTAAGCGCAAGCCTTTCAGAGAAGGAACACAGACGCATAGTTGGGTAGTCTTCCCCCACCTCCTCCTCTCTCCCTAACTACAAGTACATTCCATATCCTGAAGTTGGGAAGGGCGTGGTTGCGTACTCCATGCGAACAGCGAAGGGGGCTGCACTTCTGGCGGGATAGTGCCGTGTCGGCAAAACCGTAATCACGTTCGTGTCCAGCACTAGAAATGACGGCAGTTATTCCACTGACAGACTTCCTTACGACATGTTCCGCTCACGTACGCAGCCACACCCTCCTTATCTCCTGGATACGGAGTGTATATCATGTCATACCATATCATGTGCATCATATCGAAAAATGTAAATTCTCATTGCGATCGTTCTTTTCATGAAAAAGAAAGGAGCTTGAGAAAACTTTGTCACAACAATGTTATCTAATGAAGTTACACTTCTTCAATATCACATTCAAAACAAATATCACACGTAGTATTGACAATAAGTTGACATGAGCTCATCGTCTGTTCTTCACTATGATATGCCGGGCTCGAGAAGTCGATTACATCGAGCGAGCGAGCCTTTTCTGCCCTCACGGAAACCCGTCACAATAGCTACTGCCCTAGTAATGTGTTGGTGACTTCTGAGATGAACTTGGAAACCGTTGGCCTGAGGCGGTAGTACGGTAGACATCGGGTATTCAATCGGAACCTGGAATTTCGACATTTTAGCACAGGACAGTGAGAAGTGTCTTTCCTGCAAGCGCTTCTTGAACGATTCAAAGATTAGAGCTCGATTAGGCCAGTCTCTCATGACGTCGACAAAAGTGCGCCTCTGTGAAGTTATCGTTGTACCGCTCCACAGTTGTTACCAGTCGCTTATCACTAAAGCGGGTCGGCGTGTCAGCGATACGTAAGGCCTCTTCACGCCAGCGCATAGCCATGTTTTTCATTCAGTGTACGTTGCGAAAAGAAACAACTGGCGCTGCGCCAAAACCCACGCCCGGCTGTCACGCCCCCGACTGATTTCGGTGATAACTGTAACTTTGAGAAAGAACTTTTTTTATTGCAGCGGTCCAACGATTAGCAGTGGAGCAAAGCAGTTGCTGAATCGTTTGAGTCGGAAAGTGTAAACGCACGCTAAGAAGATCGAAATACTGTAAACGCTGTCAATAAGAGTAGAGCTACCTTATTGTAGTCGACAGCAAGCGGATAGCCATGTGAAAGGTCTTTAACGAGAAATTGAGAGGTGTCTTCCATGTTCGTCAGGCTCACACTATGATTCATAGTGTGTAATTGACCTAGAATGGCACGGATAGCTGTATTTGCGAATACATGTGGAAATTAAACGATATTCCTGTACCTCGATTTTTTCAAGTTTTAATTTAGAGATGGCTAGCTCACCTGTATTGTGCCACTGCTGACATTCAGAAGTTGTCAACTCGTGATATGCTGGTCGAGGTAGTGGTTGGATTGAGGCTTGGTAACTTACTGGAACCATGGAATCTTCAGTTTGTGATTATTTCTACGCAAGGAATAGGAGAGGAATGACGATACTGTAACTTACAGGGACTGTGGTAGTGAGGATAAAGCTCTCCGGACCATGGATCGGGTGCCCACGGTGGAATATCGCCTGGTAATGTTGGTGCCAGCGGTAGGCTGAATTCCTGTAGAGGCTATAAATATGAATTGTAATTAAGAATTACGTCCGAAAGAGTTTAAACTTGAGTGTTTTGATTAAGGCCAACTGTATCGCTCAGAGGCGTGGTCCACGCTGAAGGTATGGGCGGAGTCACATCTGCTACCATTTATTCGTCATAGGCGTACTCTTCGTCATACTAGGAAGAGGAGGAGTGGCCAGTGAGGATGACACAATGGAGCTCCGTCCATACGACAAGCGTGGACTCGCTTGATTCAGACGGCTCCTCGATGCTCCAGCAACTCACCGGTTGTAGCAGATGCCAGTGGTCCATTTTTGAGACGAGTGCGGGAGGGAACAGAGAAAAGTCGCTGTTCTTGATCGGTCGCGGTCCGGGAGCGATTGGTAGAGGAGTGGCAAAGGGACTGAAATCACTGGTAAAGTGCGATTATTTACAAATTTTAGTGCAGTTCGGCTTGTTGGGGGCACTAAATGGTACTCAAGGAACTAGTTCAGGCCACCTTGTGAAGACATCAAAAGTCCGAAGTGGCTCACTTGGACCATTTCACAACATAAGAGGAGTTTGCAAGTCTTACTAAAGGGCAACCTGTTAGTTGAGGTGAACTGGCAAAAGGGATAGTGCAAAAATGTCCCTCCCAAGCCGAACAACGCCAAGATTTTTCAGGTGTACAGCTGGTGCTTTCTCCGCGTGCGTGCAAAAAGATTCGCAGCCCACGTTTTCATGCTTCTTTCACGTACCTCCCTCCTTCATTGTCGTCTCTGGGCGGTGGCAGTGGAAGAGCGGCTGTTGATTGGAGATTTCGAGGTGATTGCAGGAAAGAATCATCGAACGACAGCAATTTTGCCTTCAACGATGACCGCTTCTCCAGAAGCATTGTGCCCTCGACTTCGCTGAAATATGTCAGATGAAAAGACCCTCTCTCTTCTGGCGCGTTGATATGGCACAGTTACAACAGTGAGTTACTGATGAAGTTCCCTCTTCATTAACGTCATCTGCCACTCCCAGCAGGTACACACTTGTTCTTTACGGACGCTGGGGCGTTTCAGCGGAGGGGAGGGCTGGTTTTGACACGGCGCCAGCCCGTTCTCCACTAATTGTGGAGGAGGCGACCACAATTGGTGGACAGTAGGCTGGCGCTGCGCCAAACCAAACCGCCCTAAAGGTCGCAGCGTTCGCAGAGAACGAAGAGTAATGTGCTACAACAGCGCTTGCTGAGTTAAGGGCAATGTGTACGATGGCTAGGGGCGCGCAGTTACTGCTAACGTCATTGATGAAAGGGGTGAATGAAGGTGTGGCCAACGCCTCCTCATAACCCTTCCACCGATAACGCTTGGCAGCTAACCGCTGCCCTCAAGCCATTGGTACACACTGCTTTCGGTACTTCAGGCAAATTCCAAAGCAGGAGGCGGCGGTACCGCAGTAGGCTGTGTGAGAGCAGTAACAGCCGTACTAAGCGTCAGGGACTCACTTCAGCAGCGATGGGTGAGCCCGATTGATTCCGGCTTTCCATTCTTGTAGAACATTCGGCAACTACTCTGGACAAAGTACGTCCGATTCGATTTCGTGCTCACCAATCGATAGATCAGTAGACCACTAGACCCGTTTTTGATCACTGAAAACAGCAGATTATTTTATTTAGACGTGATCTTCGTGACGACATTCTCATGCAAAAAGCGTGTCGGTCGGGAGATCCTACTTTGCGACGATGGGGGCGGAGGCATGGCGCAACGATTTAACTGACTTATTCAGTGGATGGCGTTTTACGGCTTATTCAGAGTGCAGTAAATACTTATTCTCGTGCGGTTTGCCCGCCGAGCCGAGCCCTTATCCCGCAGATGGAGTGGGTGTGGCTGTGCACTTGCATTTTTCGTGCAACATTTCCAATTAAGGCAACTGTCATCCTGTCTTATGCTGGGCCACGACGTGACTGCAATTGTCCCAAAATGGCAGTATCCCAACGAAAGCCCAGTCGCAGCCACGCCCACTCCATCACAGGGATATGAAATGTGCTTTCTCTGCGCGTCGCCGCGAATTTGGTTTCCCGTTTATCGCGTTTAGCTCGCAGTGATGCTAAAAACAAAACCAGAAAAGGCTCGACTGAAGAAACAGAGAATGGAAGAAACGCCAACCTTCTTTGTGAGCTTCAGCCAAGCAAACGGCATCTTCGACGTTCACGAGGCTGTAGAAGGAGATTGGCAACTCACTCTCGCTCAATTCCAACATAGCATGGACCCTGAAAAGAGTCGACTTTGACTAAATTTGTACCAGTCCCACTTTCTGGTAGGTGGTTCTCCACTCACTTATCGTCCATTGACACGAGCGTGCCATCCAGCTGATGTTTTGTCTTCAGAATTTGATCCTCTGCAAGAACGTCTGTAGACGAAGGAGGGACAAATGGCCTGTAAGGTTGCCAAGTTATTGAAGAAAAATATTCAAAAAAAACTTCTAGTAGCGGTTATTAGAGAACTTTGTTCTCGGCAACTCACGTGCAAACTGCGATCATTCCCATTACTGGACCTGGATTGCTCCTTCCAAGAACGTACGATGATGGCAGGCCGTGCAGGGACAGCAACTTCCCTCGCATGTCTATCCGCTGGAATTTCGTAGTTTTTTCGATTTTGATCATTCTGAAAAGGCTCTAACCCTTTCCTACCTTACCCTGCCGTACCTCCACCCCCTTCCTCGTTACTGCGCCCCTCCTGATACTTTGGGATCAACTAGTTGCTGTGATTCTCTGGCGGCTGCAAAAACACCAAAAGCTAGTGCTAGATTTGTAGTCCCGAGAGATTCCAAGGAAAATTCCTTAAAGACACATTTTGCGATAACCAGACAAGCCAAGGAATGGGCGGAGATGCGCAACGGTTCCTTAGTGGTGGGCGGTTCCGTGAAGGTGGAGAGGATTAATTTCTCCACAGTAACCAGGGGATCGCAATAGCTAGCCTTTTTCACTTTTTGACTCATCTAATGCATTTTATTTCCTTAGCTGCACTATTGCACTATACTTACCAGGAATCCGCAGGTGTTGTCGAGAAGGCATCGAAATCGGGCGTTCACATTGCGTTCAAGATGTTGAGAGTTTTCTATAAAGAAGATTTTAGAGCGACTCACTCCTCACGCAGACAAACTGCGCTTACCTTGCTCGTAGAGATCCTGGGGATTCGTACTGCCAGGTGGAAGGGAATAGGCCAAATTCAGTTGTTGCCTAATGTCATCGCGATCCTCGGAATGGATGAGATCGTAGAGCGGTTGGTGAAGAACATCACTCTGCAAGCACAGGGCAGCTTCGCCAAATTTTCATGATCTGCGAAAGATACCCGTTGAAGTAGGGGTAGGGGCAAAACAATCGTTACGTATCGTGCTGGCGGGCGCGGAATGCGACGCCGCGCGCGACAGACGAGTCGTCCCGCCTGCTCTCTTGAATATGAGCGCCGAAGGGAAGGGAGAATCCAATATTGCCTGTCATAAAGTCTTGACTTTGCTTGAATTCATATGATTTTCGCTGCTCCAAATCGACAAATTGATACACGTCGGGAGTTTGCCGCCATGGTTGCACGGTACGCCGCGCGCGGCGGCACGACAGTCACGAACGATTGCCTTGTCCGTGCAATCTCCTCCCCCCCCCCCC